AGTAGAGTGCTGTATGAATGTTTGTAGTAGAGTGCTTTAAGAATGTGTGTCTAGTAGAGTGCTGTATGAATGTGTGTAGTAAAGTGCTGTAAGAATGTTTCTAGTAGAGTGCTGTATGAATGTGTGTGGAGGTAAATAAGAGCACAGATTGTATTGTAAACCACTTAGAGTATCTTGATTAGATAGAAAGGCATTATATAAGTACAGCCCATTTACCATAATTTCCAGACTATAAGCCACTACTTTTTTCACACACCTTGAACCCTTATACAATGCTGCGGCTAATTTATGGATTTGTATTTGGACAGGCTAACGAGTTTCCTGCTGCCAAAAACATTTAGCTTCGTCACACCTGGGCGCTCACTTAGCTGCCCAAAGCATGTCTCTCTTGAAGGGTGGGTCCATGTGACTCAACGAGACTACCTGTATAAATAAAGGTTAAAAAAATCTGACCAATGAAATTACGTAACTGGTCACAGTGGACCAATGAAATGGGGAGAGGAGGAAAGAACAGGGAGGGGGGACTTTGCTGCATGCACAGAGCATGTGAAGGGGGACTCACATGCTTACAGAGCAACTTTTGCTCCGCGGACGAGGAGGACGGCTTGTGCAGGGTGAAGATGAAGTTATCCATCAATGACTCTTCCTGGTAGGCTACTGTGTATTATTTTTACCAAACGTGTTACAGGCACTGTTCAGAAAAAAACATTTACTCTACATATTTGTGTATGTTCTGTATTCTAGCATTCTGTGGTTCATTGTGGTTGACTGCCAGTCACGGCCTCAGGGATTATGGGTAAAATTTATGTTCATGTTAATCATTTTGGTTATCTGTTTAGCATAGTTCTTTCAGTGATTAGTTTGTTCTTGTTAGCCTAGTTTATGTTCATTATGTGTTAGTTTGTGTTAGACCATTCAGTAGAGTAACCATGAGTGAGGGAGGTAGTTGTCATGAAGACCTGTGGGGTTCACTCTGTCTGTCTGTGTTGAACAGTAAAATAAAGTCTATAAAACACGTCTAGTGGTTGATTCTTGATCTACAAGAAGAGCTGCACATCTCTCTCAGTAGCTGTGAGCTGCCTCTCATGTTACAATTTGAACACCCATGGCTTGTACACAAGCGCACTATACTGTCTGCCCTTGCACGTTTCACCACCGTATACGTCGCATCAGTCTAAATATGTCTAATAAAGTGGAAAAAACATAAATACGTTACTTCGTCGTATAAGTCGCATCTATTATGCGTCACTGCTGACTCGTCACTTTTGTTACACGTCACTGCTGACAACCCGGAAATGTGGGCCAGTGTTGTGCCAAAATGGCGGCTGCGGGAGCGTGCACGAGAGGACTTTAACAAGAATTTAACAAGATCAACACTTAAAAACAATTATTTGTTTGCTTGACATTATAGTAAAGGTGTTTCTCAGTTGAACTTTTCCTTAATAAATGCACTTTAATGGTCAAATCAGCTGCATTTTGCCTGGGCGACGCGGAAAAATGCAGCTGATTTGACGTTTGCTCCAGGAGTTCCGGAGCGAGACGAAGGTGGCTTTCTACGGCAAGCCAAGTGTCTCATTAATAGCCACTTTTACCTATTAATGAGACACCTGTCTTGCCATATTAGTCGAGCGCCCTCTAGCGTCTGAAAATGGTAGTGTTCAATATTTTCCATGTCAGAATGAATGAAATTGTCAGATCTCAGCCAAAAATTGGTTTATAAATACTTTGTATAAGGAAAAAAAATGTATATTAGTCACTTCGGTGTATAAGTCACAGGACTTGCAAGTTTATGCAAAAGGGTGTGACTTTTAGAGCAAAAAATATGGTATATATGTACAAAATTATTATTTTTTTTAATTTAGTGTGCACGGCTTATATGCAGTCTATAGTCCAGAAATGACAGTACCTGAAAGAAAAACAGAAATCTAATCCCTAACTTCATTACTTATTCACTAATCACTGTCCTTATCTCAGTAAACAGTCCCGTACATGTAGGTGAAGCATTATGGGAAAGGTTATTCAGTAGCTGTCTCTTGATGTGTCAGTCTCTTACGTCTTGGTTAGACATGTCCCAGTATGGCCGCTCCCCGTAGGACATGACCTCCCACATGACGATGCCATAGCTCCACACATCACTGGCAGAGGTGAATTTACGATACTGGATGGCTTCTGGTGCGGTCCATCGGACGGGGATTTTACCACCCTGTTCAGGAAAATGCAGCTTAATGGCTGGAGTAAAAACCGACATTCTTCCGTCCTACATGAGTACGAGAGAGGTTCAGGTTAAACACACACTTCAACAACATTGCCATAAGAAGACACCTTCAGGTCAAAAGCGGTGAGTTCTAACAGTTTGTTATGTAGCATGCACTGTGGCTGGACCGCTGAGGAACTACAACTAAACTCATTTTTCACCACCAGGTCAACGACTTCCTGCTTAAAATACAAGAGCATCAGAGAAAACTGCAACTATAACAGCGCTAATCAGAAAGTTGGGTTTTATTTCTAATAGATACTCAGAATAACTTATGATTGATTTGTAACAAAAATATAACCCCCCTAAAATCATCGAATACCACATACGACACTTAATACGCTCGTCAACAAACAGTTGTACAGCAATGTACAGTAGTCCCTCGTGGTTTTTCAAAATAAGAGTGGACATGACACACAATTAGCTGATTGATGGATGAGCCACATGGTTGGCATGGAATTTTTTTTATTTAAAATAAATTATTTTAAATTATACTACTTGTACTACTATGCCTACTTGGCAGTTTTTCACTTATCGCAGGGCTCCAGGGTACTGAGCCCTGCGATAAGTGAGAGACTACTTTATAGTGATAGCTCTGATCAGCAAAGACCTTGTTTAACCTTTGACCTTTGAGCTGGGGTGATACAAAATGTATGTAGCAGTCTGTCTAATGATGATGCATATGTGTATGAAGTTTTGTTAAATTATCTTGAGCGAATCAGAAGTTAGTTCAGCTACTGTTTTTCTTTTGTATCTTTTGCTACCGTTATGGTCATTTTAGCTTTAAATAAGATTTATTCACACCAAAGTCCATGCTCAATAATCCAGGTATAAAATCCAGTAATGTTCAGTCAGTCAGGCCATCTGGACAGTTTCTTTTTGAACATGGACTTCAGTGTTTTGAACCAGTTCGACATGACTGTTGACGAGGGAGAGGGCGGGCGCCGGAGGAGAGGGCGGCCATCTTAGCACCAACATAACTGTTTTTTTCTACTTTGGAGTAAGGTGTTGGTGGAGAATCAGTTTTGTTTAGTGTTTCCTCAGGCTGATGAAGCGTTCTGGATGGAGAGCGAAACGTCTCAGCACAAAAAAAGAAACCGTCCAGATGACCTGACTGAAAATTGATGGATCAGATTTATTTACTTTATTACTGAAATTGATGAACTCCTAAAATCCTTGAAAAACTTTGTGTTCTTTGGGATCTATAGAATATTCACCTTCTTTTAAGCTTTTAGGTATGGTTTAGCTTATTTAGCTCTTAGCTTCATTTTCCTAGCTTTGTTCTAATCATTTTCACTTCATTCATTAAGTTTCAGCTGATCCAACATATTTCAGCAGTCATTTAACACTGATCTCACTCTGCTTATTTCACAATAAATAAACAATAGTTCTGACATTTTTGTTTTGCCTTTAAAAAGCTCCAGTTCCGCTGTTTGGTGGTCATGACGGTTTCGTGCTTTTGACCTAATTGTTGTATTTTATGAACACACACAGAATCTGTGACGAGTTAATGTTTTTCCTAATAAAAACAACATTGAAGGCTCTGTGATAAAAACTGAATCAACAAACTAAATGAAACAATGACCTTTTCATCTGTAAGGCATTACTACATCCCAGGCAGCTGTGGCTGAGTAGTTAGAGCAGTCGTCCTCCAGTGGGAGAGTTGGGGGTTTGATTCCACCAGCAGTCACATGTTGAAGTGTCCCTGTGCAAGACGGTGAACCCCTCATTGCCTCTGATGTGCCTCTCATCGGTGTATGAATGTGATCTAAAGCAATGGTTCCCAACCCTGGTCCTTGAGGAACACCATGCTGGATGTTTTAGTTTCCCTGCGTTGAAACATCTGATTTAAATGAACGGGTGATGAACAAGTTTGTGCAGAACATGTGGAAGTAATTAAATCATTGAATCAAGTGTGCTGGAGCAAGAAAACAATTAAAACATGCAGGATGGTGTTCCTCATGGATCTGGGTTGGGAAGCACTGATTCAAAGCACTGATTCTTCTTTGTACAGTAGTCTCTTGTTTATCATGGGGGATCAGTACCCAAAGCCCCACGATATATACGATATATATATATATGTATATGTATACAAAGTACATATATAGGTACTGATCCCCCATGGGGATTGATCCCGGAGCGGCTT